CGCTTGCTGCCTTTCCTTGGGAAGTTTATTCAGGAATAAAGCTACGTGCGGATACAAAACCCATTTGTTGGGAAAGTACTCGTTTTAGGAAGCTCCCGCCATCTCTTTCCTCAACTGGCGACGCTTCTGCTAGCAAATATCCAGCCTCCTTGTGTGACAACAGTCGTTCTCACCAAGCCCTTCACTTTGATATTGTATACAACAAGACCTCTGAGTCTCTTGGGGGGGGGGGGGGGGGGGGGGGGGGGGGTATACGACCTTAATGTGTAGTGCAGTGAAGAGGGGATCTGCGCTTCGTTTCAACGGAGTTTGGAGCACAGCAAGAGCAAAAACCGGAAGGTCAACGATTTGAAAGGCGTATACTTTGTACATCGGGTTTCGTACTTGAGGCAACCTTCACATCTAGATGCGAATATACACTTCACTGACATTAAGCAGGATTCAGGAGAATGGCGGATTGATGTCAAGTGAAGGCAGCCTACGATCTGACACACGGCACCGAGCAGAAGCACCCTGCTGCCATGTGCAAAAGCCGACAGTTTAGGGCGCAAAAGAGCTGGTGAAGATTTGACATAACATTACCCTGAAACAACAGGTAAACGAATGACTAAACACGCATAAAAATTTTCGTACACAGCTATGTTTAAGACTTTTCGTGTGTGTATGTGTGTGTGTGTGCGTGCGTGTGCGTGTGCGTGTGCGTGTGCTTGTGCGTGTGTGTGTGTGTGTTTGTGTGTGTGTGTGTGTGTGTGTGTGTGTGTGTGTGTGTGTGTGTGTGTGTGTGTGTGTGTGTGTGTGTGTGTGTGTGTGTGTCGTCATTTGCTTGTCTTCAACCTCGAGAATGTGTTGTGTCTAAAAACTAGTCTGGCCAACGTGGATAAAAAATGCGTAGTTTGGCCGTCTGTCTGACAACTGTGGGCACACCTCAGCAATGCTTGAGTATCATACTATCCAGCCATGCCAGCACCAAGGTATGGCGGCGCCCAGGGGTTGTACTCGCAGAAGTCCTAATTGACCCTTTTAAAAAATGCGCGCCGTCCAGTAATTTTTGCGTCAACTATCCGAGGACTAGAAAATCCTGATTAGTCAATAGGGTCATGATGTCACAACCACGTTTGACGTCACGTGTGACGTCACACGCGGCAATAACGTCATGACCCTATCGACCAGCTAAATTTCGCTGAAATTTGTTTCCGCTGAATATGACGAGAAAATTTTTCGCTAAATTAAGCGGAACATTTTTTGCCAAATTTAGCGGAAAAATTTGCCGGAACATTTTTCCGCCAAATTTAGCGGGTCGATGGGATCATGACGTCAAAGCCACGTGTGACGTCACACCAGATGACTTCGCGCGGAAATTTCGAACATCCCACAACGCTCACGTGTGACTTCACGTGACGTCACACGTGTGACGTCACACGCGACGCTACCGACTAGGCCACGCGCACACGCTTGCACGGCTTGGGAAAAAGCTCGGGTTTATATGAGAATGCTTTGCGAACGGGGCCCGATAACGCTATCGCGTTCCACTCTTAAAGGCGAAGCCTAAGCGTCCTCCAAATTTTCGGGCATGCACTTTTAGTATGCATCGGACACGAATGCTGCATCAGCGTTCCGCGTGAACTTGAATCCACTCACTCGGACGTTTTGCTCAGGAAGCGATGCCCAAAATATGGCGGCCTCCAATGTTGCCTCACGAACCTTTGAGATGGGTCTATTATGGTAAGTATGGACATCTGTATCAGCATTCCGCGTAGCCCGCCTAGCAGCCGTAGAACGAAGAAAACACAGTCGTTTATTGCAACGGTAGTGATGGACGTACACTAGTTCACAAATGCAGCACTGCGCTGAATCGATGCTCTCATTATCGTCGAACGTATTGACGACAAATCACTACATTTTCTCCTTCCATCGCTGAAGTTTCCTCCTCAAAAGCTGCAATACCGCGAGGTACCTCGCTGCAACGAGATCCATTCCGGGAGGTATCACGCTGCAGCGATAGAAGCACATTGGAACCCAGGAAGCTTACCGTGCATTCTGGTTCCGAATGTTCTTCACCCTGTAGACTGTATGAAGTGAGCGGTAGCTTACAGCATTGAGCCAGTGTTTTGCGAGTGTTTATTCCCTTTGTTATGCCGACATCGATGCCGGTTTTAGGGCACCTATATACTTTGCCACATAAAACTTCTATTATTGTCAGCACCTTGACGCCTCTGCACTCGCTAGTCACGGCGATATGGTATACTGCGTTTTAATAGACTCCCTTCAAAACACCATCAGGCAACATTGTCGGTCGTCATTTTATTTTACACGAAACTTGCGAGTGGATTTGAGTATTCGCCAAACAGTCACGCCGGAGTCATTCTCGAAACAGAGCCGGGTTCACGCCGAAACGCGCTCGTGCGATGCAAATGACGCTCAGGTGGTTCAGGGCAACATGCTGGTGTTTAAAGCTACAGTTTCGCTCACAAATAACGCGTGTGGAGAACCGTGTCCACAATGAGCAAACAGGGGAGCTTGAACATAGTGACAGTTGCGCACACAGGGACAAGGACAGAGAAGAGGAACACGTAGACGACAGACAAGCGCACACTCACAACTCATGTATTAACGAAAGAAGAAAAGAAAGTGGTACAGAACGCGGAATCCGCTCGAGCGTTGGCCACACAGGCACGAGGCACCAGAGGCCCGAGGGCTCGAGGGGTACTGTTAAAATTACCCACACGAAAATGATTTTAAAAACGCAATTTCCTCCTCTGTTAATGACACTCGCCCATGCTTAGATTAATGAAAGCTTCAAAAATCTCTCTGGTGTGTTTTTCTCGGTACCTGCCTATTATCTTGGTTTCCGCTAAGGATGGCGTACAATTACACGATTTACAGTGAAGAGGTAGATGGCCCCCCACCGTAGACTTTAGAGAGAGATTGTGCTCTCGTAGCCGGTCGTTCACACACCGTCCGGTCTGTCCAACGTAGCTTTTACCACATGAAAGAGGGATACTATATACTACACTCAGGGAGCAGGGCACATAAAAGTGGCAGTGGTTCTTGTGGCACGTATGTTTTTTAAAATTGTTTACCTTAGCATGAACTTTTGGACAAATTTGAGCCATTTTTTGGGGGGCTGGCATCACTAAAGGGACCCCGTAACGGCTAGCCACCTTTTTAAGATTGTGGGAAATTTTATGCATATACGGGACGACCACAATTCTTTTTTTGTCAAAAGCGGGCTTAGGTTTTTGAACTCCCTTCACTCTCTTGACCAGAGTTCCCACAACCTCAGTCAGCACCTGCATAGGAAAGCCCGAGGATGTCAGCCTCTCAATTTGTGCTTCAAAACTACATTGGAGGGTATGAAAACAAGACTTATTTAAGGCGCTTGTAAGGCATGACATAGCTATACCCCTTTTAACGACTTTGGAGTGAGAGGACGTGTAGTTTAGGATGCCTTTCTTGGAACGAGGGGAAAAGGTCCAGCACAGGTGATTGGGTAGCAGACAAAGCGAAAGGTCCAGAAATTGCAAAATTCCTTCCTTTGGCGTTTCACAGGTAAAGACAAGTCCCAAACCACATTTGTGGAAAATGTCCATTGTCTTACAGACATCATTATCGACCGTTTTTTTTGTACACCAGCAAGAAGTCGCCGACATATCTAAACACTTTTGTGACAGTCGTGGACTCAATGGAAGACTCAATAGTACGGTCAACACCCGAAAGAAAAATATCGCTTAAAACCGGTGCTACACATGAGCCAATGCACACACCCGACTTTTGTAAATAAACCCCATTTTGCCACTCTATGAAAGTGGAACTAAGATAGAAATGGAGAAGTTCTAGGAAACTTTCCAACGTTATCCCACTTGAGTTCCGGAACGAAAGTTCATCATGTGACTCAATGCAGGACCTGACAGAGGCGAGCAAGGAATCATGGGGAAGTGAGTAGAAGAGGTCATGAACATCCACGCTGAAGACACTGTGATTGTTAAAGTCATTTGTCTTCAGAAATTCAAGAACAGCCTCCGAATTGCTGATCAAAAAGGGGTCACTAATTTTTAACCCTGAAAGGTGTTTCTGCAGATATGTCGATACTTGCCGTTGCCACGAACCTCTTTCAGTAACAATAGCTCGGAATGGGCATGCTTCCTTGTGTGTTTTGGCACTGAAGAAGATTTCTAAGTGCAGCTCATCAGCTTTTCTGATGTTGTCAGCTAACTGTGTTAACGTGAGACGTTCACACAGACTGAGAGCCTGGCTCTTCACTTTTTTCATCACAATCTGCATCTGTCGGAAGTTCTTTTGTACTGCTGCGCAGGCTTTTTCATTATACATGCCTTCAGGCATTATCACGAAGGAGCCTTCTTTATCGACCTCCAAAACACGCTGTTGGTTGTCGACCAAGAAGTTAACCAGACGCATAGGATCCTGGGTCTGGACTTTCCCCGAGACAGAAATAGCGTCAACACATTCCGATATACATCGAGGTCTTATCTTCTCATCAGTCTTGTACGCCACCTTTCTTGCCAAAGTAAGTAGTTCCGGAGGGCGCAGATTCGGTTGAAGGCAAAACTTGGGGCCAAGATTCAAGGTTGATTGAAGGGAATGGGGTACTACAATATCCCCGAGGTTGGTAAATCTCCCTGCAGCTGTAAAAGGTTTTTTCTTCTTTTTGGGGAGGTTTTGTCGAACTCGCTGCCACAAAAACTCGGTAACATTACTCAATGTCCTATTCATTTCAGAAAAGGATCGTCGTTGCCGGTACAAATCGGCCCCATTGACGCCACAGGCAACCCACAGGCAGTCTTTGAAGAATCTAGCCTGGCGCCAGTACTCAGATCTTAAAATTTTGCAAACCCTTCTCACATGCCCTACGGAGGGTGTAAGATAGCCACTCAAACCAAGTAGTTCAACAGGGCAGGTACCTTGTTTGATGTGCCAGGACGCAGCCCGGGCGCTGCACACACTTTAGGCGGCCAGGTTGACGAGAAGAATAGGGGAGCTTGTGCTGTTTCGACGCATTTATTTATGAACAAGGGTACAAATGGTCAACACAGTCTCGTTATCCTAAATTAAGTTTCTCATTTTGCTATGTGACACATTACTGTAGCGGCATTTCATAAAACTCTTTGTTTTCGTGAAAATATCGGGGGAACCTCAATCTCCTCTTCGCTCTCCACCAAGTCGTGCGTCTTCAGCGTGATTCTTGAGACCGGATAGCGTTCCTCGAAAGTGCCATTAACTAGAAATGTCATCTCGTCATCGGCTGTTTTGGTCAGGTGTTCACAGGGAAGTTCGGTGACGCAGATAATCCAGGAACTCGGTTCGTCTCCCCTCGGCCATATTTTGACGCCGAAATAGCCCTTCAAGACGATACTGGCCCCGAATGATCGCATCTAGAAATAAAAGAATAAAAATAAAAAAAAGGATTGACAATTATAGACTTGAGCGTGTTGGTAATCTACATTGACTTAAAACGAAAGAAACACACAAGAGGACGGAACAGACGACACGAAACAGACGACACAAAAGCTGTGTCGTCTGTTTCGTCCTCTTGTGTGTTTCTTTCGTTTTAAGTCAAAGGATTGACAACTTGTAAGTTTCGAGTGTGATAGTCTTCAAAATAATATTAAGGATTCCGGATGGACAAAAGTCAGAATCAAGACACTGAACGACTAATGAGTTAGAGTGGGCAGAGGAAATTAAAACGCAGATAATAAAAAAAAGGTAAGTCATGCTACGTTAGGTCACGGGGTCGCCGGACAGTTAAATCTAAAGTCTATGGAACAATAAAAAAAGAGTTGCGTTCTGTGTATATTTAGAAAGCGGGCAGTTAGCAGCCCTGATGGTGTCTGGTGTCTATGCCGTTGTATGAATGAGAAGTTTAGCCACGGAAATATACCGCTGCTAGCCTAGGTCCAACTCGCTTTTGGGGTTGTCAACTTTAGAAATGCGAATTAATGTTTATTACACGTGCTGTATTTCTATAAAGCAAATCAATAAATTTAGAAGAGTCTGCCCTTCCTTCTTAAAAAGAAACACTTGTGCAACTGAGCAAGCCGAGCGTTCCGCGACGTACGAACGTGACGACACATGCAGTCAAGTGCCAGTGTTGCCGACTCTCTCAAGCCATCATGTAGAGAGAGCCAATTGCTGCAATTTCAAAGTTGGCGAACGAAGAGTCTGAAATTATGTTTAGACCCAATAAAAAGAAAATAGTCTACGCTATGACACTGAGCTGGGCAAAATGGCATGCAATTCACACCGCAGGTTTTTTATATTAGTTCTATAACATATGTTAAAATAGGTTATTCGACAAGTTCCCTCTATAGAGTACGGCTATTGTCTCTCCCAAATGACTTGCAAAAACAAAACAAGAAAAAAAAAAAACAGATGGTCCAGATACCTTAGAGTTTGTATTCTGCGCTAGCGTTCCGGACCAGATGCGAAAGTATTAAAGCTTGCCGTTCACTACAAAAAAAAAAAAAAAAAAAAAAAAAAAAAAAGCCCGCAAATACAGGGAGGTGATTTTTTGTTAGCGACCAGAAACGGGTCCAATTTTGCCTTTTTAAAGTTTCATCAAATCGCTTATCACCTTTTTGAATAAAATAACGGTTTGTTGTCTGGTCCAAGCCGCTAGCGCTACATTTTGGTAAAGACTGAACGTTCGGTGATGCGTAGTAAAGTTATGCTAAACCAAACACTGTTTTTTTTTTTTTTTTTTCAGGGACACGTTGAATCGAGGGAGAGACAATCTGCGTGGGGCGTTCATCTTCATACGGGGGAAATATGACTGGGCATTTGGGGTGCGTATCATTTCTATACTATAAATCGGGAATATTATAAGCGAATCAAACGTACCTTCGTTTCGTCTCGAACTGTAAGAGTCACTTCCGTTTTTTTTCTGGGTGGTACCTTGAACGTTTTGTTCCTGACGAGGTACGTGAATCCCTTCCGTTCCAGCATCAGTGTATCGTTGAGATCGAATTTGTACACTTCCTCTTGAGAACCTTTATACACCTTCGGAGGTTTGGTATTTATTCCTAGAGCAAATTCGCTCTGGAAGACAGAACGTAATTTCCAAATGGCAGCTAATGGCCTACGAATATGGCTCCTGTAAGTTTTCTGTTCAGGTCTGCTGTAATCTTCATTCTTGAAATATTCAGAATAGTTGGTAGTTTTATCGGACCTCTTGGTGTGGACATTGTCTCCGTATGTGATGTTTCTGACTTCAACTCTAAATGGTGTTCTGCAGAAGAAAAAAATGTCCACATTAAGGTTTTTTATTTATTTATTTATTTGCTTTTAAATATTATTCTTGGTAAGCAAACTGGAAAAGCATCATGGCTAATTAATAAATTATTTGCTTAACCACAAAAGATACCGGAGCTTTTATACTCCGAGGTAAAGTATACAAAGCGCCACCCACAATGATAATCTGCACAAAGAAGCCTAGCAAATCCGAAATATGAAACGTCTGGAGAGGTGTTAAATCGTCAACATGAAAAGTTTTCCGAGCTGTGGCCTGAATAGAATATTTAAAATAGGAAAACAAAGCAAAAAAGGCAGTGTACGTACGAAAATTTCTAAAAAATGTCGGCGAAGCCGAATGAAACTGCTTGTTTTGGACGAAGAAGAGTTTAGATCAGATAAGAGCGCCAGTGAGAGAGAGAGAGCATACAGTGCAATAGAGTACCTTGCAGAAGAGGTTAACTATTGTTATAAAAACACTGACTAAGTGACGCAAGTTGAAGCTCAATTGAAACGGTTCCACCTTTCGTATCCATCCATTTATCCATTCATCCACTCATCTGTCTATCCATATGCAATCCGGAATAAACACTCAGTGACGTCCGAGTGGTCCGACACATTGGCACAGGTGTACGGAAATCACAAGGTGGTTTAGCGCATGTGCATTCTCTTACAGTGTTGCCATCAAGATATGACTTCAGGCTTGCATCCTCACTAAAGCCAACCCAGATTTCGTGTTCATTCGTGGTCAAGAGGTTAAAAACTGTAGCAGAACGCGGCAAATCGTAAGAGCGTACATCGGCGGTCCCAAGTGAAATAACGAGAAAAAAAAATAAATAGAAAAAGCAGATGATAGGTTTGGCGTGCTACGTGCTACGTCCCAATTGGGACACCCAATATCCGCGTTTATACTCCGCCATTTCGAAATGGCCGAAATTTCGCCTTTCTCTCAAGGAGTCTAGAATATTACGTTGTCTTCGTGGCGTACCATGGCACGCCACGTACGTTCATGAAGAAAACTGAAGAACCCTTCAATAAATACTTCCTTTTATTTTTATTTCATCACTATATGCTTCTCGTTTTTGTGCTCTTTTGTTATCTCACTATGGTCAGCCACTGAAAACTTCTCGGTAAATTTCTTCATATTTGCATATCTTTAAATGAATGAATTAGGGAATCTAGTAGATGATTAATACATTTAGATCTAATGAATCAATGACAATTTGCGGGCAATAGAATCACATGGAAGCACATACTTCCCCTCTAATGGGAAACTGGCAGCGGCCGAAAGGTTCAATGAAACTATATGTCGATGTCTTTCCTCTGCCATCTTCGTAACAAAATCCGTGACGCATTTTGTCAAATCGAATATCACTCTCGCATCTGTAAAGAAATTGAAAGCAAAAAGCAAGACATGTCAAAGCTTCTCTTCAGATTTGATCATTCTTTTTAGTATCAAACACAGGCGTCATAAAACGCGTTGCCGCTGTACAAAAGTGCTGACTTTCGTGAACAAAAGTGAATAAAACATACAGTGGGCGGCACTATCATCTCTCTCAACAGAACGCCAGCAGACGGAGAAAAATGAAATCCACTGTCTCAATTCGGCACTAGAAAATAATGGCAGTCCATTCCAAGGGCCAACACTGGCTAGTTGTCGCAAGCCGACACCCAATTTAAAGAGTTCTGCCGTATGCATGTATCCGTTCGTCCATGTCCTCCCAATAATGTAAAGAGATACTGAATTGAAATTTCGAGCTCACAAAACAAGGCTGAATGAATAGGCGGGACGCTGCAAACCCGAAAAACATCACTCATAGAGTGATATCTTTAACAGATCGCCGCATTTTTAGAAAATAAGTGCGCGATTGAACACGGCCGACGAGGTCGACGAGACAAGTGACGTTCCCATTCCCTCTCCTCCTCGCTACGTCCCCTTGAGCTGGTGAACCGGAGCGAGGAGGAGAGAAGCGAGGCCGCTTGCCCTCATTCTCAAATATTTCAGGAGGACCGTGACGTCATAGCCCTCGCGTGATCGCGCCCTTCTTTTCCAAAAGTACGGCCATCCGTGTGAGATATCGACGTACGAGTGATGTTTTGGAGTTCGTAGCGTCCTGTTCAACGCTTCTGCGGCCTTATTTGCAAAATTAAAATTTCGGTTCAATATTTCTTTAACGCACCTCTGCGGCCTTGACTCTTCGTTGTCTCATATTTTTTGGCATCCCATGAACGTTTAGATGCGTCACAAATATTGATTACTCCTGGTGGTGGTCAACCCAAACACTGTCTAACCGAGGGACTTGAGGGAGTTGAGGGTGAAACTCGATGTGCGCAAAAACCGCGTAGCATCACGCCGTGGCGGCAAGGCATCCAGCCCCGTCATAGTGTGTGCCGCAGTTGCTATGGTTACACCGCTCGGAGGGGCGGCGCCACGCAGTTTTTGTAGACATGTATTTCACGCTTCATTTTCCGCCTCAACAGTGGCCTTTCTACGTTACACATTGTCTTGCATATGCTCGGCAAAGTAAACGACGGTAGTGCTCGCATGGGTTCCGATTTGGTGTGTCTATATATGACTGTATATATCTCAGTGAACGACATCTAGGCTCTTCAAATTAGTCACTATAATGAGCAGTTTAAAGGAATTCTCAACCGAAATACGAAGTTTCAAGAATATTGCCCCAGCTAGCTCCCCGGGTTGGTAGAGTACCCAAATATGTCATTCATTCATATAGATAATACCGGATGGATGGGTGACAAGCGGCTATGCCCTCTGTGACAGGCGGCAGCTTGCGCCATCTAACCTAGACCGGACACAGCGCCTGCCCAAGCTGGCCTGCCTGGCCGGGCAAGTAACGTGACGTCACGAAGCGAGCTTCCAAAAACGTGCACGAGGTGTTGCGTACAATATTGATATTTTTTTTATTTGATAAATTTTGGACCCGATCTCGCTTAAGGCAACGTAACTTATAACTAATTGGTGTGCCGAATATGACAATACAACCAACAATTTTCGTCCAAATATCGGTTCACTATCTCTTCTCGAAAGAGGTCAGTTTTTGAGTGTCTGTAAATAAATATACAAAGGCAGAACAGCTGACACAGTTATGGATATCAAGGATGATAACAAAACGGAGTTGGTAGCATACGGATTTTGATTTTAATCCGCCATGATGCAAGCTTTCAAAGCGGTATACTACACCAGACTATACTATATTCGCTACCCGAGTTTCTACAGCACCTAACGGAAGCAAGTAATGAACAGGGAGTGGACACTAGCACAGCGTCAGTGTTTGTCTAAGACTCGTGTTTAATCTGCCCTGGTGTGCGTTCTTTGCCCCACGCTGAGCTCCGGAAGGCGGCGCAAAAAATCCAGTAATATAGTTTTGATATCTACTAGGTGTTGGGAAATGAAAGTGATAGAGACGTTTTCTAGCATTAAACATTGTAACCAGGCACACTGGCGTCACAAGGGTGGCTGGGGGGGGGGGGGGGGGGGAAGCGTGTCACGGCGGGCTATTGTTCCGGGTGCCGCTGACCCTAGTGACGCCACTGACCAGGCAGCCTGCATTACT